AACATCCCACTAACAAAATCCCTCTAAGCCACCTAAATCCTCGCTGGAGAAAGGAAGGTTTATAAAAATAAAGACGCTGCGCTTTGCGGCCCTGACTCCACGTTTACTGCGGCCCATGTGTATATCCGGAGCCCCTGGGGCCCCATGCCCTGGACGTGGGGCCTTTGGGCTTTGCCGGGTGTTTGGGGTATTTCCAGAATAGTGGTGCCCGCCCCCCCCAACAATGATGTAACAAATGAACTACCCAATGATAAAATTTATTTCTTGGGATTTTTGTGCATTTTGTTTGATCGAATCTGGTGGTTGTACCGAAAGACAAAGAAATAGTGAAATTTAGGCCTCAAGGAGTTCAGGATGGAGAACAGGGTAATCGGAATATTTATAGTTAATACACAGACCGATGCGGCTGCTCTCCGGGGGAAATGGGACTGGAAACGCACCCAGATTGGTTAATGATGCTGCCCGACTTCCCGCAGGAGGCAGCGAACAAACGGCGACTGACTGCGGGCTGCTAGCGACAAAGGCTGAGGACAGACTCCGGGCAATTTGTGAGTTAATCAATTTCAATGAAAGCCTTAAGGAGGCTCCCAGTTATTTTGAAAACGTGCTGCCTTTAAGTGGAAGAGAGAGTGTCTGCCTGCAGACAAAGGGCAGGTCTTCCTGTGGGGGCTGAGCCCGAGCTATGGCAGGACCCCATCACTTTGCTGCAGCTTACATATCACAGGAAGGACGAGTCTGGAGAGTCGTGATTTTTTAAAAATATATCTTTATTGATTTCAGGGAGAGGAAGGGAGAGGGAGAGATAGAAACATCAATGACGAGAGTCATTGATCGGCTGCCTCCTGCATGCCCCCCACTGGGGATCGAGCCCGCACCCCGGGCATGTGCCCTGACCGGGAATCGAACCGCGACCTCCTGGATCCTAGGTCGATGCTCAACCGCTGAGCCACGCCCAGCCAGGCAAGATAGTCGTGATTTTTAGTTCATTTCCCAGAGTAAAACAGACCCCTGGACGAATGAGTGAGATCTGAGGCATTTCCCCCTTTCCCTTCACAGCCTGTGAGAGAGTCTGAAGTTCAAGGTGGAAGGAGTCTGACTAGCGGTTAAGGTCAGAAAGCAGCTCTCGTTAGGTCCGCTCAGGAACTGCTATACACCAGCCCCTCTTTTACTTATCTGAGCCTAATTTCATCAGTAATATCCACATAAGTCATTTTGCATAGTTTTAATATATGCCGACTTTCCCAGGAACATCGCCGCCACTTGAGGGGTGTTTGCTTTCTTTTGCTTCGCTCTTTGTTTGTTCGGAAGTCTTCCAAGAGTTGCTCGCCATTTCTCAATGTCATACTGAAGGCGGCAGTGCCGGCCGTGGCCTTCCGATCAGGGCACAGCACAGCTGGGCCAGCCTGGCCCTCGGCTGTCCTACTCATGGTCTCCACAGTCATCCAGGTGGCCCAGCACCACTCGATGAAAGGACACCCCTCTTCCCACCCATTTCCTTTGCACCCTCATCAGAAACAAGTGTCCCTGTTTCTGTGTTGTTCCGTTGCTCCGTCTAATCCCTGCATCGATGCTGCAGTGTCCGGGCTCCTGTCACTTGCAGGTAGGTAGTGTGAGTCCTTCACTTTAATCTTTTTCAAAGTCGTTCACCTTTTCCCGATCTTGTGCATTTCTACATGAATTTCAAAATCATCATCTTGGTTTCTAAATAAACCAAAATGCCTCCTGAAACTTTTGCCTGGACAGGTCAATTCGGGAAGTTATCATTTTAGCCACATGGAGCCTTCCGACCTGTGAACAGAGCGTGATTTCATTTATTTCATCTTGTCAAGTTTCTCTCAGTCATATTTTGATGTTTTCAGATCTTACCCATCTTTTATTAGCTTTATCCCAAAGTATTTTGTATTTTTGACGCTCTTCTAAATGACTTGGCTTTGTTCTATTTCAGTTTCCGACTATTCTATTCATTCCTTGCGCATGGAAACAGTTGATTTTCGTATAATGATGTGTGTCCTACAGCCTGGCCGGGGGCACTAATTAGCGAGTTGCTTTCCACAGATTCCACCGGATTTTCTAAGTAGCTGGTCCCGCTGTCTGCAAACAGCACTGATGGAGCCTCCAGGGCAGTGCTGACTGGAGGCCGCGAGAGCGGGGGGCTCACTGCTGAGCTCAGGGCAGGCGCCTGTCTCCCACCTCCGTCCCAAGGGCGCTGCTAGCGGCCGAGAATTCGAGTTGTGCTCATGGTCTCTACCAGCTGGAGAAAGTCTCCTTGCTGTTCCCGGTTTGCCAAGAATTATACCAGATATTGGTGCTGAATTTTGTCAAATGCTTTTCCTGTGCCTATTAAGATGATCACATCATCTTTACTTTTTTTACAGTTAACATGGTGAATTACGTTGGCTTTTGAATGTTAAACCAACCTTGCACCCCTGGGCACCGATCCCACCCCGACTCTGAGGTTGTGAGACCGGGGAGGAGAAGCGTCCACCATGGGAGACCTGGACCAGGGACGTGGGAGGGAAGCACACGCAGAAACACGGGGCTGCAGAGAGCGAGCTGGGAACAGAGAAGCCGCGGTTTCAGAAGGTACCCAGAAGAGTTTGGGGGTGGCTGATGTGGATGGCGGGGGCCGCGTTAGGGACAGGAGGGCTCAGAGCATTACGGGGGTGGAACGTGGTGGAGAATTTCGCCGTTTGGAAACTTGCCGACGGGCACTGACAGAAAATGCAGGATTGAGATGGAGGCCGGGTCCGGAGCCTGCAGAGTCGCCCGGTGGAGTGTCAGGTGCAGCGGCTACACCACCTGCACGGCCTGACAGCGGTCTCCCCGTGTGTGTGGGGTCCGAGGATGGGGCGGCCCCGGACACCGTGTTCTGGCAATGGTCTGGAAGAGACGAGAGCCTGACACGACCCCTGGGGATCCGAAGGACTACGCTCTGTCCCTGACTCGTAGCAGGACACTGTCTGCAAACCTCCGGCCAGTTTTCACCACCTGGCTGCTGATGTCCCACCCCGAACCTTAGCTCAGCGGCTGGGGTCTGCTCCGCGTCAGCCCAAGTCCACGAAGCCAACGTCCTCCAGTCTGTTCTGGGCTCGTCTCTGGGCTGTGTCCACAGTCACACTCACCTCACTCGGGCCGCTTCCCACCTGCCCCACGGCACGAGTGGGCTCCCAGACGGTGTCGTGCACCCCTGGAGACCTGTCATGCCTCTGCCCACCTCCACTATGACCTCCCAGCGTTGGCTGGATGTTGTGTCCCCTCCCACCCCTCCTGAGGTTAACTGCAGTGTGTCCAGTTGCATCAAACTTAGAGATCGCAGTGCAACACGCAGAGGTCCTCTGCTTTACTGTGAGCTGGAAATCTCTGCCACCGCGCTCTCCCACTGCGAGCTAACCCGGATAGCTCTGCGATCACCTTTTACACGTCTGCCCGTCTGTGCTTTGTCTGAACAGACAGTGAAGTGACACGAGCGCTGATACGCTGGCCAGGGTAGAACGGACCAGCTGAGCTCCCACCTTGGTCGCAGCCATGTCTTCGGCACAGAGGCCAGTAGAGGAGGGGAGGAGTGTGGGTGCTGACGGCACCCACTGCCCAGTTGGATGCCATCTGCCGGAGGGGGGCGACTGGAGCTCCGCGTCCCATGGTCCCACCATGAGGGGCAGAACCCCAGGGCCGACGGACCGTCTGGGATTTCTCAGCCTCTTCCCAGCACAGGTTATCCCCAAACGGCCAATCATATCCGCAAAGACCTTTTAGGTTCATCGACACTAGTTAAGTAGTTATTGTTTAAAAACTATGAAACTTATCAAATGGACGACCACAGAAGTTTTCAGCATGAGTATGTTCGAGTCGATGGCTCAGTAGGAAACCCTGGACGAGTACACGCAAGGCCGTCGTCTGGACACGGGACCATCAGCCGCAGTCACTCGGCTCACAGGCAGGCGGCTGCCGGTGGGGGCACTGGCTCTGGAACCTACTATTTGTGTTTTCTATGGAATCTCAATATTAGAAGCCAGTGACTCCTTGAGCAGCCCCCTCTCTTTACCAATTAAATGTCACATTAAGTAAAAACAATTGACTTTAGTAATTGGAAATTTCTTAGAGGGAAAATCCCAGGATGCCCCTTTGAAACTGTGCAGGGCAAATTCTCTTTACCCACACACTCTCACAGCTGTGAACTCTGCTGTCATGTCGCACAAGGAAAGGACATTAAAATTAACTTTAGCCTGGATCTTGTGAGTTGTTTTAAAAGGCAGGTTTAAATTCTTGGTTCTCTGAAATGCAGTATGTGAAATTCATTTTGAGATCATTATAATTTTTCTAGGAATAAGAACCTAAGAAAATGGTTAGTGTTACTTAAAACTCTCTTAGGATATTTCTTTATAAAGCTTTCCAAGTGCATGAGTGTGCATGTGCACACATACACACATTCACACTCACATGCATGCATGCACACTCTTACACATACATACACACTCACATGCACATACATGCACACACACTCATACATGAATACACTCTCACACACACACACGCACGCACACACACTCACAAGACCAGGAGCACTGGGTTTGGTTTCAGTGCCTCAAAAAGGCAGGATAGGGGTCTAGCCACACGCTTTTTTGAGGTTTTCCTCAATGGTAGATGCCCCTCCAGCCTGAGGGCCCCACCGCTTCCAGGTCGCATGACTCCGCAGCGCTGTGGCTCCTGGTTTCCCGGGTAACTTCCCCAGAGCCCTGTCAGTCGAGGTGCTGAGATCCCACAACATCGGTATCTGGCTTCTTTCACACGTCACACTGGTCACATCATCGGGATGGGACGCATCCCGTCTAGAGAGGCAGCCCTCAGAGCCGCACAGACATGTTACATGACGTACAGACCCAGTTCTACAGCTGTCCTTTTATGTTCAGACGATACGAGCACTGTCGTGTTAAACTGAAACACTTGGATCTAAAAATACGCTGTTGAAACAAATGACACGGGAGAAAGGAGACCCAAATCCGTTCTTATACAATAGTCTATAATTTCAGATACAAAGTGCTACAGAGGCACACTGAGACATCTCCTAAATTATAATCTGGGAATTTACATTTTCTTAAAGTTATCTCTGGTGAGTTCCAAATTTAGTATTTTTACAGAGCTTAAATATCTATATTGAATCTGTTTTTCAAAACTGGAACTGAGCATGAATAGAACTCTAAAACAGGACTCCTGATTTCAAAGCATTGTCTTCAAATAACCTTTCTCCCTAAAGCATCAGAACCGGTTACCCGCCAGCATCACACTTCCTCCCTGTGGAGTGGGCTCCACGCAAAACGGTTCAGAATTTGGGCTTCGCGTCCATTTTCCTCTGGCTTTGGGTTCCTCTACGTGCCACTTGATACCACTACCGTGTGTCCTCGTGTCTTCTCCCACAACAAGCTGTTCATTCCAGGCTGCTCTTAAATATTTCACTGAAACGTAACCTAAAACAAGAAACAAAGCTTCCCGCTTCATTCCCCTTAACCATCAGTGATCATTTCAATCCCATCAATCAGCAGGTTTGTTATTTTTTTATTCTGATTCCTAGTAACACAGGAAAATTGAGGGTAATTCAAAAGTGTTTGAGAACGGCTACTGCCAAGATTCTGCAAAATGTCTTTTTCAAAACAGAATGTAACTGCTCTGAGGACCGGCCTCTGAACGTGTCCTGTACTGTGGAGCGAGAGGCGAGGGCCGGGTCACCGTCACTAACACCCCCACGTCACTCAGGGCTGCTGCTGTCCGGCCCGACACGGACGGCCTGTCCTGCTTCCCTTTTCAGCTGTATGAGTTTGTGTGTTGTTCATTTCTAGAGAGAACTAGTAGGAGCTCAGGAGGCCCAGCCTGGTGACTATGTAACTGTTAGGGTCACTTCTGTGAAGGCTTTTCAAGGTATTCCAGGCCGTGAGTGTCCGCATCTGAGTGACGAGAGCCAGTCACGTTTCCTAAGAATTGCTGAAAACGAGCAACATCTCAGTAGATGTTTTAGTTCTTAAATGGCTCTTTACTTTAAACCAACCTGGTGTAGGGAGATGTTAAGTAAGATCAACTTTTGGTCTGTTTCACAAAACCTGGTAACAGCGTTTCATCCGGTCGTCATGCTTGAGACACTAGAAACTCCTGCCCGTATCTGCAGTGACGTGTCTGGGAAATCTTCATTTCTTTACGGCTGCATTAGTAATGACCAGTTGCAATACCGAGCCCGTGCGCAACCACACACACACGCACGCATGCGCGCACGCACACAGAAATAACTAAGATGAAAAGGCCTGATAGGGAGGGTGCTGCTAAACCTCAGTAGAGACACGGCCAAGGACAGCCAGGACTCTTTTTCCGTTTTATAAGAACAGAGCACAAGCCGTATACTGTAAAGCTACAAAGTTATTTTTCCATGTGTACATTTCTTGATAAAAGGAGAATTTTTTCTTTTTGCATATGTGTCTACGGACCCTAAAGGCTGGCAACGAAGGCCGGGAGGCCGGCGGCTGAGGGCGGCTCTGCGCCGCTCACCGGGCGGCAGCCG